ACCTGTGTTTTCTGTCAAAACCACCTTAGAACCCACAGGTATTGTCTTCTGTCTAGCAGGTGGTTGTCTGTGCCCATGAAAGATCTCATAAATTTGATACTCCAGCTGAGGGTTGCAATTTGGTGGGTTTTTTCTTAAGCCTTTTTCCTGTACAAGCTACGTTGCACTGCAGGAAAGGGCAGTGAATGTCAGAGACCACCAAGGAGTGGGTAGAACTCAACTATAAAACCAAAATTTGCAGGACACAGAGGATATTGTAGCCCTTTATGTGTTACCAGGCTATGTTCTCCAGAGCAGCTTTGTGCTAGCTGACTGAACCTCCTATGCTGGAGAAGCCCACCATGCAATAAGAAAATGAAGAATGGAGAAAGTTCTTCCCTCGACTGCTAGGGTGCAGGGGATCAGTTCCTTCTTCTTAGACCTAACTGTTCAGCTCAGAGGGTGTTACACTGTTACATGCTGACTGTCTGAAATATCAACTGTTTTTCTTAAATGTGGTTTATGGTGATTTTTCCATACAGTCTGACCTCACAATGGAAAAAATATCTGCACTAGAAAACAGTAAGAACTCTGACTTGGAGAAGAAGGAGGGGAGGATAGATGACTTATTAAGAGTAAGTATTTAAAGTGGGACAACTCTTCTAAAAGCTGCTATTTAAAGATACCTAGAATGCAAGTGCCAGCTAGGCTGCAGAGCAGGATTTTGTGTACCATTTGTAGAACCAACACTCGCAAGGTAAAACAAATCTGGTCATCCCTTGCTTGCAAGATAACTGACTTGTAGATACTCTGTTTGAGCCCGCTTGAATCCAGAAGCAGTGTAGCGGTGACTGTGGCTGTACAGTGCAGAGTTGTGTAGCTCAGGTGTTTGTGTGTGTTGGCCTTTCTTTGATCTGTGGCACACTTGTGTATTTTGCTAGCTAACCTAGCATGTTTCTCTGCAGAATTATTCCCTCTTCGAAGTAGTGAGGAGCTGACTCTGCTTTTTGTTTAGCAGCATGTTCAGTAGCCTCTCTGTACACGGGGAAGTTGTATTCTGAAGTGCTCATTCATGAGAGTCAGTCACATGTGTGAAGATGAGGAGAACATCTTTTGGTCAAACCGAAAGAATAAAGCTTCTCTTAACCCCCTAGTATTCTTCAGTAAAAGATAAATACCTTTAAATCAAGGATCTTGCCTTAATGGAGGAGTTCTCATTGATTTAGCTTTCATCAGCTGAAGAGGCATCTCTTGTGAAGGGTTGAAAAGGATTAGAAAACACATTAAAGGAAGAAGAGGGAAGGCTCTCTGTTTGTGTGTATCTGGTCTCAGCACCTAAAAGAGCTAAGACAAGCTTGTAGAGACATACACAGAGGCACATGTGGGTTTGTGGAAAACCAATCCATGAAGCAGGCAAGAGATTCATTTGTTTTTATCATCTGCTGTTTAATCAGAAGCCAGACTATTGGGTGGAAGGGGAATGGTTAAATTTAACTTTTTATCAATGAAAATGGTTGCACGTAAAATCCTGCTGTACGCTGTGGTGGTGTTAAAAACAGCATCTGTTACTGGGAACAGTCTATATAGTGGGGCTGATGGATAGTAACTTCAACAAGAACATAATTGAAAGTGCAAAGGGAGTTACCCCATCCTTTTCCTCTGCCAATATTGTGGCTGAAGAGGGAGGATAGTCCAGGGATGACTAAGCTAATTTGAGACTTCGTAGCTGTGGCAAGGTCTTAAATGTTTAAAAAAATAGAAATAAAAAAATTCCTTGTGCTTATGTTTAGTCTCTTTTGTACGTTAGTTCCTTATATGTAAACCAGGGTGATAGCACTTCCCTGTTCTAGAGGGGTATTAAGATCTGAGTGGGTTAAAAACTGTCGAGCTTGACTCGCATGTTTTGATAAGAGCAACCTAGTGTTTTTTCCTTATCCTGCTGGTTTGCTTTGTTTAATCTGATGCCTAGAGCTAGCTGGAGAAACTTCTTCCTAGGTGATGCTCAGTTTGGCTCCAAGTGATTTAAAGTCAAAGGCTTTTCTTCTCTTTTCACTTTTAGGCCAACTGCGATTTGAGACGGCAGATAGACGAGCAGCAGAAGATGCTGGAGAAGTACAAGGAGCGGTTGAATAGATGTGTAACAATGAGCAAGAAGCTTCTTATAGAAAAGGTGAGCAGGGGACTTTTCACATCTCTGCAGTCACAGTTCATGTCCTTGAAAACTTCTCTTATCTTTTGAGCAGTGAAAACCTGTTCCTATTGCTATAGTGATAAAAGACAACTAGAATTCTGTCTTGAATTATCTGTCTTGAATTATTTCTCTGCAAACAGGAATGTAATGCTAAGACTGAAACGGTTCAGAATGGTTTGGTTTGGTTACTTTTCCCAGTCTCAAAGAGTGGTCTCCCTTCCTAAGTGAAATAGTCTGAGCTCTAAATGTAGCGGGCATTACTGGATTGGAAACTCATACTCCTGAAAAGCAGCATTGTCTAGCTCGGGCAATACAAGAGCAGTATCCCATTGTGCAGTGAAATTGCCAGATATGCTCTGTGACATGGGCAAGTGATTTAGACCTTTCCTACTTTCAGACGGCAAAGTTGGAGATTGTTGCTTTGTATAAAGCTCAAAACAACACATTAAAGACACTGGGGAAAGTGCCAGGCTGCCGTTTACCAGCGTCCAGCCTGCTTCAGTGTTGAAAGATTTCCAGGTTTCCTGATGGTTAAACGATGTGGGGGTTTGATTGCTCTTTCACCTGTTGGCCAAGTACATCTATTGTTTGTGGGCACTGGATGGGCAAAACTACCAGGGTGCTGGCCAGTACATGCAGTCTGTTTGAGTTGATTTTGTCACAGAGCTGATTGTTCTTGGCTGAATGGGACTCCCCTTCCTGGGAGGATTTGTAACTCTGGGCTAGGTGTTATGTAGACCTGGCATTCAGACAGGTGGTGTACAGCTCCAGTGAGGAGCTTTGCTGGTTCATCTTTAATCCTGAGTGACTGAAGCTTTGCTGCCCTCATCTCAGGCCTTGGAAATTTCCTCTTACTTACCGGAAACACTCTGTGACAGACACCATCCCCAAGTTTTAGGCGTGTTGGTGACCTAATTGAGATTGTGTCACTTCTGGGAGTGGTGTGAGTCTAGGACTGGGCTGGCTGGTCACCATATCTCAGTGTTAACAGTGATTCAAGGTGCATTTTCTTCCTTCGTCTCTTGTTTGAATGAATAAGGGCCTGATCAGAGCCGTGTCTGGAGTCTAGCTAAGCTACTGATACAAAGGGATAGTTTTAATCCTACCGCTAGACTGATTTCAGCAGATGATAGAATGGGTGTGAGCTGCCCAAGCAGTAATGGGGAAGGAAAGGTGAGGCTGAAATATCAGAAAGAAGGCAGTCAAACAAACACCTGTCAGACCAGTGTGAAGTACCAGCAATTATTTGATCAATGATTTTCAGCTGGGTTTCAGATAAGCAGTGCTGAAACAATGAAAAGTGGTAAGAATCGGTAGTGATTTAAAACACAGCACAGCTCTTAGCTGCTAATTCATGGCTTACATTTTAACATGTTTTATTTTGTTTTCAGTCAAAGCAGGAGAAGATGGCATGCAGAGATAAGAGCATGCAGGATCGATTGAGGCTAGGTCACTTCACTACGGTGCGGCACGGGGCGTCTTTCACCGAGCAGTGGACAGATGGCTATGCCTTCCAGAACCTCATCAAGTGAGGACAGCGAGAGTTGTCTTTACCTTCAGAGGGAAAGACAGAAAAAACAAGCAGTTGTCTGTGATGTCTTGCATGTCAGAATGTGAGAATGGTGTGACTGATGCATGAAAGGATCAAATAGAAACTCAGCTACCGACAATGGGGAACGGTTTCGTGTTGTAGTGAGAAATATGTTTCCACTTGGACCTCCAGAGACTTGAAACTGGAATCAAATTGTTTGAGTTGGCCTCTGGGTCGGAAAGCAGTGGGCTGCCCTGTCGGGTATTGTCGGTGCACCTGCCTGGCTGTGCAGTGCCGGGGGTGGAGGGATGGGCCAAATTCTCACATGTATCTTCAGTCAATCAACTCGATTTGCATACTTGCATATATTAGACAAGGAAGGCTAATTAGCTCCTTCTCTTTTTTAAAGTAGAAAGTAGAGAAGCTTAAAAGAGAAAATCCATACTATTTAACTTTTTTTGCCTCCTGGTAACAGTGATCAAAGGGGCGGCAGAAACCTGGAAATGAAGATCAGAGACCCTTTTATGCAGGATGTTAATGGAAATATCCGGTGAATTCCCACCTGGCCTAGACCTTTCAGTAGGACTTGGCAAATTAATTGCATTAGAGAGAGCTATGTGTGATCCTTTAAATCATATCACTTCTCTGTAGTCTGATGGGGAAGTGCAGCTCTTGTTAGGTGCAGATTAAGGACTATGTATTTCCTCCTTAGTTTGTGCTGTAAGACATGGAAGAAATACCTCTGGAATATTTACCTGCAGTCTCAGTCTCTTTTAAAAAGTGAATTAAGTATGTAAATGCTCGAGTCATTTAGACTTGAAATTTCAAGAGTGCTTTTATCACTGTCAAGTGTTTTAAGATAGTCTTTTTATCTTGGAGGAGAGACTGTTTTCTTAGTGAAATTGGGAATGGTGTTTGTTATATTTCAGAGAGCTAAGGATAGTTTAACTGTACCCTTGAAGTGTAAGGATACTTTCTTAGACAGTTCCAGACTTCAGGAATAGTTTTAACAGGAAAGCTTGAGATTTAGAACAGAGCCTTCTAGGAAAAAGAGTGTGGAAAGTTCGTGACTTGCCATGGATCCCTGGGTTTTCCGTGAGGTTAGCAACTCCTTGTTTTTGGATATCCTCTGTATGAATAAAACCTTTCACTTACAGAAAGGTTTCTGTGGGTTAGGAAAAGAATCCCCTTTTATGTAAAAATACCTTTAAAAAAATGTGAGTCATAATGTTTGGCACTTCCCCCTTTTCTGTACAAAAATATTTTGTTACTAATCTTACAAGTACAACTGATTTGAAATTCATTGCTCCAATCTGTTAAGAACAGATGCTGAAGACAACCGATTACGTACCATTAGTTCATGCTTCATGGGGTTTTTTTTCTACTCTCTTCTTTCCAGGCAACAGGAAAGGATAAATTCCCAACGGGAAGAAATAGAAAGACAACGAAAAATGTTAGCAAAACGGAAGCCACCTGCAATGGGACAGACCCCTCCAGCAAGCAATGAGCAGAAGCAGCGCAAGAACAAGACCAATGGAGCAGAAAATGAAACGTAGGTTACGTGGCCTTCTTGGTGCATTGCGAAGCTGCATGCTTTGATTAGAGCACAAAATATCTGCTGGGAAATGGAATCTTGCCCTTGCCTCTAGGCTTCACTCCACACACAAATGAATATTGTGGAATTAGCCTGGCATTCAGCAACATCTGGCTGCAGTTCTAAATAGTTTTCATTGGAGTAAAACAAGGATCACTGCTGAGTCCAGACTTTGTACGAGCTTAACTGTTTTTGAATGCAGTAACTTTTTCAGTATTCCCTTTGCATCAAGTTTGAAAAGTGGTGTCTTTTTCTTAAGTGTTGCAACTTCAGAATTGATTTTGGTATCACTGTGTGATACATGGTGCGCTTTTTTTTTTAAGGAAAAAAAAAAATTGTACACATTTAGAAGCCTTTATTTCTATGTACTTTCTGATGAGGCTTTTCAAGCAATTAGTTTGGTATACTAAAGAAAAAAAGGTGACCTCTGTAAGACCAGTGTATCAAACGTTGTCCTGTATCTCCAAAGCAGTCTTGCGCAGATACTTGAGTCAGGGAAATGGAAAGGTAGTTGAAGTGCTACTCTTTCTTCTTACAGAAGATCTTTTTTTTTTTTTTTTTTTACCTTCCTCTTTTGAAGTTACTGGTGCTCCAAGAGTCCCAGTGTTCTTGGAGAGGAAAGCTGTGTCTCACAAGAGATTTAGAACCTTGGTTTTGGAAGTTTTTGAGAGTTGCAAGTATGTTAAGTCAGAGACTTTCCCCCACTTTCTACCAGTTTCTTTTAAAGTCTTCGTTTTATTGCGGTTGGGTAATACCATAACTCTCAATGACACTTTTCTTTTTGCACTATTAAATCTCCTGGGCATGACCTGACCTCAGAGTTCCTGGAGCCCTTTGAATTCCTGGTCTTGATCTTTACAAGTGCATGTGAAGCAAAACTCCTGCTGCCTTTTGCAGTCACTGGAGAGGTGGCACACAACTGGATGAACTGTGATATTCGGGGTGCTCTCAGCAACCAGGGCAGTACCCCAAAATAGGATGCTGGTGCCTGCTGATCGGGTGTGTTGTATTGGAGGGCACTGTGAGCTTTCTGCAAATAGGTAGCTTGAGTAGGGACATTTACCCCTCATTCTGGCCAAGTGAGCTTAAAAAGAACTAAATAGAGTTTTAAAGCCAGCCTTTTGCATTGCAGCTTGAGTTTGAAGAAGTAAATTGTATGTCTGTGCATGGATATTCTGAAGCGTTGCTGTTCATTGTGGTAACCTTTCACGTAAGGGACAGGACACCGCTTTCCACATTTCTGTAGGGATATTTTTCCCCGGCAGACTGGTGCAGCTGTAGTGTGGCTTATTCTGCAGACATGGCAGCACGTGTAATGTGCCTGGAAATCATGATAATGTCTGTGATACCCAGTGAGCTTCTGCCTATCTTGTGAGCATGCCTTGACGTAATCTAGCTTTACTTGGGTTTGCTAGTAAGCCTTTTTGTGCTACCAGGTCTTTTCTCTGTGTTTCTTGCTGGTTTATCATTCTTCGCCGATATGTTTCAGGGGTTTGTCTTTGTGGTTTAGAAGAGCTTCTTGTGGCATTCTTGATAAAAACAACTTGCCAGTGTATGGATGTGGTTCATGTGGAGTGTTTTAGCTTATGAAAACATTGTTTTTGCAAGTCAGCTGAAAGCAACTGTACTGACCGACTACTTGCTTAATTATTAGTTATCCTGTAAATGCATTTGTTGGACCAATATGTATCAGGTACAAAATGATCTTATTTTCGGAGGGAGCTCTTTTCTTGTGAAATTCTTACAGAGCTGTCTGTTAGGCAAGTTGAATATAAATGTTTCTGAAAGTTGAATGAGAAGCGGGACAGCCAAATTCCTTCATTTGATTTTTTGGTTCCTCTTTGGTTCATGGCTGTTTCTGTCTTAAAAAGGAGAGGAGGGTCCCATGATGCAAATTTAAACATGCGCTCTCCTGAAACTACTTTCTAGCTTGTGAATGAGAAAAAGATTTTCATTCAGGAAGATTAGTTTGCTGGGTCTTTTTGAGGTTTGTTAGGGCAGCTTGGGCAACCTTAGAGTCTTCAGCTTCACTAGAAGTAGTGTTTTTCAAGCATGTTTCTGTGAAACAGGGCAGTGTTTGTCTTAGAGCCCCCTTGATTTTTGTAATGTTTGCTGCTAACAGGCAGCTATTTTGAGCGATGTTAGCCTGGTGGTACTCATTACATCTTTTAATGAGTAGACTGTTGCTGTTTAGCCCTTTATTTCATTTGTGCACAAGAATATGTGGAAAGCTTGTTGCTGGTTTATTCAATTGTCTTTTTATTCCTTATACAGCAACACCAACCAAAGACGTAAACTTTTGGGACAGTCTTTTAGATTAGCTGAATCTGATTAGCCCTCACTGGGGGAGGTGGGGAGTGTGTGAATTAGCATGCTTTTATATGAAATGAGACAACATGTAAACTTTTATGGTACCGGCTGTGTTTCGTATGTATCTTTAATTTGTAATAAGCAGTTCCTTGTGGTTGAGATTCTTTCAAAGGGAACTTGGCTCGTGAGTTTTGTGTTAAATTTATCAGCTAACAACTGCTATAGCACTTATTTCAACTACGTGGACCCTCTGCATTATCGACAGTGGAGAGAAGTTGGGGCATTTCAAGATGAGCACTTAGACAGCTGAATACTGCCTCCTCTGAATTTACTGTGCAGTGAGCCAATGTCCCACGGCGCTGCACAGACGTAGGACTCAGTCCCCTCTTCAAACTAGTTGCAGCATTGATGCTGTGCAGACCTCATACACTAACCTTTTCACTAAGTGCTATGCAGAGCATAACCACCGCAACAGGAATCCTCCTGGGATATGCTTTGAACTCAATTTAGGTTCAAAAAAGATATTTATATGCTGTCACGTGTGTACCTTGCTTACAAAGTAAACCGATGCCATTGATATGGGCTTCATAACTTCACGTTCACATGTGATGCTTTTACCAAACTCCTTGTTGGTAGTAGTGAGAAAATGAGTATAATGATTCATTTTTCTAACCTGAAAGATCTCAGCACATGATTACCTTTCACTAGTGGTGGTATCTGTCATTATTTTAGTGTAAGGCTGTGCTTTGCCTCTGTCCTAAAAGACACACTTTGGCTATAAAAGACATTGTGAAACTTTTTATGACCAGCCACCTAGGATGGAAACTTTGCACATCACTTGCCATCAATAAAATGGGGATTGTTCCCCTTATCCCATTGCTTCTCCTAACTACGCATGAGGTTAAAGACATGGTAAGGTGAAGTGAAGTTCCCAAGGTTTCCCTGGAAGCCACTTTGTCGACCCTGAAAATGTTCTGAATCCTAGGTCATTGCTCTGCTGCCAGGTGTACTGCTAGTCCCGGAGTGAATAGCTAGGTTGAATTATCCAGTTTTTATTACAAAGAAAAATTTGAAAACGAGTCAGTAAAGCAAACTTGATGTGGAATACTGGTGCTTCAGCGTTCCATATTTCGATTATGGTTTAGCTTTCTTTGTTAAAAATCAGTTGCTAGCTTAAATAAGTGTTATTAGGACTTGGATTTGAAATCAGTATGTGCTTTATCAAGGTTTAAGCTTTTGGTCTCCTTTAGATTGATTATATATAAAAGAAAAAAATCATGTTGCATCATTTCCCTAAAAAAATTTCCTTCCAGCTGTTGACACACTTTGCGTAGTTGTCACTTCCACTGGAGATGTGTGTTCTGCAGGCTGTTCACTTTATCGCATGCATTGAAACCTAATGCACTGGATCTGTCTCTTCTATGCAGGTTAACATTAGCAGAATACCACGAACAGGAAGAAATCTTCAAACTCCGACTAGGTCATCTTAAAAAGGTAAGAACTAACTGCAGAAAAGGCTTTTGGGTAGGTTTTTGGTTCAGTTTTCTATGAACAACAGCATTTCTCTGTAGAGGTTACTACTGATTGTTTGATAATTGAGAGGTTTTCATTGAAAGGGATGGCCAGGATTATGTAATAATTTTTTCCAAGGCAGTGGTATTCAGGAAGGATGTTCGTTGCTTCAATAAATAGATTTCTATATCCTTACAGCTCTGGTTTCATGCAGGGAGTTCTACTGTTTTGATGCATCTTACTGTCACTATGATCTCCCTGGTGCTGGGCTCTGTACATGTCTGATATGGGGGAACATGAAGGAATGGAAAACTATAGGGAAGCAAATTATAAGAACACAACAAAAAAAGCAACCATCATTGGCTTTATTAAATTTGCAATATTGAGTAACCAACGTTATCCCTATTTTTTTGCAATATTGAGTAACCAACGTTATCAGTAACAGTCCAATAGAATCTCTTGGGCTTTTGGAAACTAGTACTGTTCAGGTAGTTGCAATGCACATTTGTTTTCAAATACATTGGCTTCAGTAGGAACCGTACCTGCAAGTGAGGTTATAATAATTAGATAACCTGTTGGTTACCTTTTACAGTGATTGCAATAACTTATTTATAAGTTTTTTGGGATGCTTCAGCAGATGAATTACTGAAAAAAATTAGATATCTTCTGCCATTTTGTGGTTAGCTGTGATCTCTGCTAGGGCCAAAGAGTTTTCTTTCCCATATGAAACAAAAAGGAAGTGTGCAAATGCATTGCTGGAGCCCCCCTTCTTCTCTCAGGTGGTGCCTGAGCTCTACGCTTAGTTTTTCCTGTAACCTTGACATACCGGTTGAATGCAAGGCTTCATTAATGCTACTGTACTCCTTGTTATTTTCGGTGGCAAGGGAAAGTTAATGCACACATGGAATCTGCTGGCACTCTGCCCGTTGTGTTTTCTTGACCTGTGAGCAAAGATGAGTGATACGGGCAGGAGTATACTAAAGGCATGCTTGCTCTACAGCTTCCGCATTGCTAGAGCGGATTAATTGCGGGTCCATCTATGCTGGCATGTAGTGTGCCACCCTGGAACAGAGGAATCCATTTGGAAATGGACCTTAATGGAAAATGAAGTAATGTTCCAGGATCGTGGCATTGTCTGAAGCTGTGCTTATCCTTCTCCGCTTTTGGAAACTGGCTCATTCTTTGTGCCTAAAAATAGAACAGGTTGAGAAGGGAAGGAACAGAGTCACAAGACAAATGGGTAACTATGTCCCTTGAGTCATATATACCAAATAATACTGCTCATGGCGCGTGTTTTAATTGAGGTTTGCAACCCTGTCCATGGTGATGTGAATTCTAGTGTCGTGTTTGAGGGCACTAGAACTTCCAGCTCTACATCAAAACTTCCACATGGCACTTAGTTACACTCTGATCTGTTCTACCTCCTACCATGTGTTGTCCTTTGACATTCTCCACCCTCTCTGATGCTGCCCCATCCCCATGTGGCATCGTGACATCCTTGTTCCTTACTTCTGAGGGCTGTCCTTTTTCTCTTGTCCCAGCAGCAGATGAGTTCCTCCAAGAACAGCTGCATAGCATTTAATCAGGGGAGGAGCAGGACCAGAGCTACAATACTTCTTAATTACAGAAAATGTTAAAAAACAAGAAGGCGTAAAGATACCTCTGCCTCCTGTCTGTGTGTCGGTGTAAACAAAACTGCCCAGTCAGTTTTCATTCCTGTCACCTTCCACCCAACTCTCAGTTGACTATGACCATCTCTCTAATCTCCCAAACAAGTTCTTTACCAATATGTTCTTCGCAAGTGGAATTACGTGTGTGTTTCCGTAAATCAGGCAGAAGTGCTAACTGCGCTATCTTACACAGTGTTGTGTTTTCCTTTTTCCTTGTGCAGGAGGAAGCAGAGATCCAGGCAGAGTTGGAACGGCTAGAGAGGGTTAGAAATCTACATATCAGGGAATTGAAAAGGATACACAATGAAGATAATTCACAGTAAGTAAATGGAATTCGGGGACAAGAACGTATAGCAATTTTTTATTTGTCCCTTTCATAGTGAGAAACACTTGGTCTTTTTTAAATCGGCATGGTAACATAACTTGAAGTTCATGTAAGACAAAGGCTTCCAAGTGCATCAAGGTACCATTATATAGTCTTTCATCAGTGCAAAGTGATCAAATAGTATCAAATCTGTCAGTCGTTAACACAGTTATAATATTTTTCTGTCCTAATATAAAAATGTTGTTTCTAAGCTATGTAGTAACTGTAATTTATTGTGGAGTAGATTGCAGTATTTATGTCAGTTTTCTTAAACTGTGTCTTTCTCGACAGATTTAAAGACCATCCAACGCTAAATGATAGATATTTGTTGCTACATCTTCTGGGTAGAGGCGGCTTCAGTGAAGTATATAAGGTAAATTTGAAGTCTGTGGTGTAATCTGAATCTGCAATGAAACATTTTAGTAAGCAGAACTTTTACACTTCTTTTCTCAATGGTGTGTGTGGTTGTGGAGGAAGAAGGGAGGACAAAGCACATGTTGCATCTGGCTTGCATTAGACAGCAGGCTTGAGATTTTTAGGTTCTGCCCTTGTCCTCAGAGGTCAGATTCCCTGCAAATGTACGTTTTGAGAAAACATTGCACTGAGTCTGCAAGTTTTGTCAGGTCAGAGAAGCAAACCACTTGTTTGTTCAAGTGCTACGCATAAATACCTTAAGAGGCTAAGTTTTATTGAGTATGGTGTAGCAAGTCTGAACGTCACTGTAAATAAGAGAAAATAGCTCAAATAATAAGAGCAAAGCCTATATTTCCTGGGGGTAGAAGCCTTTTTTTTTTCCTTGTGTCTTCATTTTACACTCTGAAGTAGCAGGCTCTGTGTGTGTGTAGTCTTGGGACTTCCTTTGAACTGAGGATTACTTTTGTGTCAGCACTATTGCATGGCCAAGACCTGTGATGCTTTGGTGCTTGCTGTTTGACTATTAATGCTTAGAGCCTTTCCAGTTCTAAGTATTCCCCATCTGTACTCAGTAGTTTTTAATTCATGTTGAATTTGGCTAGAATGAAAATAACTCTACCAATGCAAATATTGGAGACTTCACGGTGACTTATTATTTTGATGCAATACAACAATAGATATCTAAACCAGGGGGACTAGACCACTCAGGTAGTGAGAAAAAAGTGTGAGCCGCATGTGTTAAGTACTCTGAATTGCTCTTCGAAGGTTTTGCTGACTAAGTGGAAAACCTTGACTCCACAGATGAAAGCAAGAAGGTATGAATGCTTCATACCTGACTGTGCTTAACAGTTGTAACTCTGTTATTAAAACAAAGAAACGCTTAGCCCTTCTTCTTCAGGGTCTTGGCCGATCTATTGAGCGTTAGGAGTTAAGTACACAACTTTTGAGACACAGGTTATGCTTGTATGCTTACTATAAGATTTTGCCCTGTCCTATAAATTATCAGCTGTTGCTGCTCTCAGACAAGATAAAAGATTTCTGCGTTTCTCTAAGAGCTCAATTCCAGTGGTCTGTTCTTTAAAGACTGCCTAAATAGCAAGAAACTGGAGGGGAAAATATACAGCACAATAAATCTTGTTCTGCCATTGAATTCTCCAGCTTCTAAATAAGCTGAAACATTATGCTCCAAGATGGAGAGCTGAGCTACCAGTGTGAAACAAAGTACTGAAAATCCTCTGTATGTTTTGGGTTTATTTAACTGAGTGTAGAGAACTAGTTAGCTGGCTTGGGGGAATAATGGCAGGGTCTTTCCCAGTGTGATTAACTAACTGTATTTTAGTAATTTGGCCTTTCTGATCCCATTGTAGCTCTGGTGGTAAAATGTCAGAATAAATGCAGCATTAGTTAGGTCCCATGGGGAAGGTCAGATCAAAGCACAGAATATTCAATTGTTTTCAGAGTTGCTTGGTTTCATTAGTGAAACTAATTACATCAAAATGTGGGTTTGCTCTTCACTCAGTATGTCGTAATGCTGATTTCCTGGGTGGGGATATTGGTTTGTTAGAGCTTGTCTGCTTTTGCAGTATTAACTTGAAGTTGTGATTCCTACTGATTTTCAGCTCTTCTCTCTGCAGGCATTTGATTTAACAGAACAGAGATACGTAGCTGTGAAAATACACCAGTTAAATAAAAACTGGAGAGATGAGAAGAAAGAAAACTATCACAAGTAAGTAAGGCTGTAAAGCAGACAGCCGTGTTTCCAAACCTCCTCCTGCATTTGGTTATCCCTCGTCTCCGAACAGGCTGCCGTTTTTTTTCCCTGTGTTTTGCTACATTTCAAAAACCGCTCTCTGTCCCAGTAGCTACTTGCAAAAGTTATGGTCAGATTAGAAATGTTTCAAACATGCGCACACAGAGAGCTTTGTATAAATACTGTAGCACAAGGTTTTAAAGTACCAGTAGTGTGCTCTATGAAGAAAGCGTTAAAGTGGCTTCTCCTGTCTGAAACGTCTAAGCACCGTTCTTCTGGGAAACAGTTGTTCATGCCCACCTTCCAGGTACACACCTGCACTGTGCTCCCTGAAAGCCTTCCTCTTCCCTTTGTTTCCTAGAATACTTAATCCTTTCGCAGATGATTAGGACTGTATGTATGTCAGGGCCTAGAAGGGAGGTACAGGAAACCTTTTGGTGTTGGTAACACTTGCTCCCTAATGCAGTGGATGAGATAAACTCTGCAGAAAGGCAGCCAAGCCTTCTCTACAGACCTTCAAAGATAAAGCTGTGATTTTAATTCCTAACAAGTCACCGGGACAAACTAGGCTCAGTTTGAAACCTGGAAGTTGGGTGGTAGAGCATCATGGAATTTTTCTAGAACTTGCTGGGGTTTGTATTCAGCTGTCTTGGATCCCTTAACGATTTATTATGAGGTTATTCTACTTTGGCAAGCAATACCATTAATCAAGATTAGTTATTTTGTAGTATTGCCAGTGTTTGAGATGCACTCAGATTCTGTGGTTCTCAAGAACCGTTCTGCACAGTTCCTTGTTTGCTTGCCTTTTCTTAAGCTGTCTGAATAACATGCATGGGTTTGATTGAAGTTGGACTGCTGTGCGGTATGTCTGGGTTTGCTATCTGCAGAACTTAGAATTAAGTCACTTGTATGACTAATGCTCAAACTTTCCTATTTTCAGACATGCATGTAGAGAGTACAGAATTCACAAAGAACTGGATCATCCTCGAATAGTTAAGCTATATGACTACTTTTCGCTGGATACTGACTCGTAAGTTATGTTGCTGTGTCCTTTGACTTGGTTTGACTCATTCACTACAAAGTATTTGGTCTCTTAAACCTTTCCAGGAGAGTCCAGACAATGTCCACACCAATGTTACAGACTGTACTGCAGAGATATCTGAGGCAGTTTCAGCATACATTGGTTTTCTGGGGATGCTAGCTCACAAACCAGTATACCGTATTGTGTCAGATGTGGTGCTTTACTAGTAAATCCTGCTCTTTGCTGGCCTGGGCAAATGCCCCAGCTGATACGGCTTTCCGCTTCTGGATCTAGCACTAACGGGGGATCTCTGACCTTTGTACTATTGAGCATTGAGGACTGTGTTCCTGGTAGCTTATTTTTAGAAAGGGATTATAGGCCGGAGGACTCTTAATTTAATATATGGACCAAATAGGTGAGTCTTACAGACAAGCAATAACAAAGTGTTCTGGTTTCTATCAGGTGCCTTAATTACAACAACTACTGTTTTGCCTTCAGGTTTTGTACAGTGTTAGAATACTGTGAGGGAAATGATCTGGACTTCTACCTGAAACAGCACAAGTTAATGTCGGAGAAAGAGGCGCGATCCATTATCATGCAGATTGTGAATGCTTTAAAATACTTAAATGAAATCAAACCTCCCATCATACACTATGATCTTAAACCAGGTATGCTGTGCTGCTAGCTGACGTGCTTAAGGATGCTAACTAAAGGTAATGGGTTATAAGTAACATGGGGAAGTTTACTTTGGTCAGACAGCAAAAAGGAGACAGGGCTGTCTGGGAAAACTTAACTTGCAACAAGAAAAGGATTAAAATGCATAGAACATGCTGTGAAAAGGATATTGTCTCCCAGAATTGCAACATAAAACAAGGAAATAACATTCTAGAAAAAGTAGGCTCCGTGTTCAGAACGAGCCCTTGAACCAAAGTGTCTGTGTTTGGTTTCTTAATGTCCTGCTTGTATTCTGCTGTTGAGAGTTTCTGTTATTGCTTCATAAAGGGTTCCCATAATTACAAGTGTGTTTTGCGTTCCCGTTCTTCTGGCTTTTTCTTTCTGTAATCATCTGCCTGAAAATTTGGTGGCAGAAGCTAACTTGGAAGTGCTCAGTTTTTCATATCATGTGGCAGCTCACAAAGCTGAGGACGTACTGTCGAACTGTTGGCTGGGGTCTGCCTTTGAATTTGGCGACGTCTGCCATGTAGTAGGTCCTCTCCAAATGTTGGTGCAGATTTCCCTTCATCATTGGGCAGAGTCACGAGGGGAAAAATGCTGTCTTTTGGGGTGCTGCATATTGGCTGCACGGCTGTTTTCCTAGTCCAGTAAAATTCAGCCATCTCTTTGGGCAGTTATCCCTGGCTTGTCTCCCTATACTGGTGGCACTTCATCAGCATTGTGTAACTGGTATGTGATGTGGTTTATTGCATCAGCACGAGGAATCTGTACGGGAGGTGGTGCTGTTGCACTAATTCTAGTGACCCTGTTTCTTCCCCCAGCTGCCGACTGTTCTCATGTTGTCTGAGCATGCTGCAGAGCTCTGCCTACAGTTGTCTAAAACTGTGATTCATCCACTGCCATCACACACAATTCTGCTGCTTTATTGTAGGCTTTCAGAAAAACAGTGATGATCTGACTTCTTGATCCTTGATGGATTTGTAAAAGACTCTTGCCTGCCTAAGCAGTAATTGTCCTTTTTGAGCTTAGAAAGCCACTGGGGAGCACTGCCAGGAAGGAGAGAGTTTCTGGCTGTTGAGAGGCCGGGGCAAGTCAGGACTTCTGGGCAGAATGAGTCATAACTGTGTATGTGTATTTCTCTCCTTAATCCTCCTTTTTGACCTGCCCTTCCAACGGGACCTTTGGGAGGGGTCAAAACAGCATGGGCGTCAAGCTCGTTTGGCTGATAGGGCTCGGAATCCGGAGGTTCCAAGTAATGTCAGGCCACTGGGTCATTCGAGGATGGGCAGATCAATTCTAGCACTTGGTGGGAGCTGACTTGTCTCCGGAGCTCGGGGTATTGAGTGTTAAAACATCTACCCCAGGCTGCTGCAGCTCACTGTGTAGGTTCCTTGTCCTCTCGTGCAGAGTGCCAGAGTTCAGTGCAATTTTATTCTTGTTTCTTTTTTTCCTGTTAGATGTGTATCATAAGGGGCTGTTTTCTTCCTCTGTCTAGGTAACATTCTTCTAGTCAATGGTACTGCATGTGGAGAGATAAAAATCACAGATTTTGGACTTTCCAAAATCATGGATGATGACAGCTACAACTCTGTTGATGGCATGGAACTGACATCGCAGGGGGCTGGTACTTACTGGTAAGCGTCGCCTCGGGCACTTGTAAGTTACAGATCAAGAACAGTTTATAAACAGCTTTGGATCTATGTCAGCTATGTACGTACTGCCACAGCTTGAGACACTGGAGGTTTGAGACCCTGGAAACTGCTCTTGTTGCCACACAGCTCCTTCTGAGGCTGGCAGCTTTTTACTTTTCAGTGGGTTAGTGTTTATACATTTGAAAACCATCTCTTATCCAAAGGGTCTGGTGAAAAACTGCATATGCTGCATTCTGCTGAGGTAGCGAGCTCTGGAGTAGAGCTTGGCTGCTCTTTCACAGTCCACAATGGCACTGTCTCACAGTTTGAGCAAGGAAGAGAATACCACGCCTATTTGGAAATTCAGCTACATCAGGGAGATGGAAAGAGTATTCCACTGAAACGAGGAGGTAAAAAGCCATAGTTAGCTCTTGCAAAAGGTGTAAATCTCACAGTGCTGTCTATAGGCAGAGCTTCACTTTCAAGTGTTGCGTGAAAGATATTTTCAGCAATACTTTATCCTCAATGCCAAGTATCGTCACTGCATCACCTGTGGCTGAGAGCAAGACCTACGGTGAGCGCCACTGCATGTCATTCTTAGATATTATCCGAGCTGCAGACTGTCACTATGGGCAACAGTTGTACAGGAACGTTTGTTGAGGCATTCAGTATTGTACAGGTTTGTTCCTTTCCTAAAAATGAAACTAGCTGTAGTTCGAGCGAGGCTGAGTGTCTCTAACTAGGACGTGGCATCTGGGGTTGTATTTCTAGAAATATGTATTTTGGCTGTGTGTTTCTATTGTGGAATTGTTGGCCAAGCCCTTTGAACAACAAATACCAGTTGTGAAGATAAAAGAAAATGGGATTGTTTTATGTGCTCTGGTGAAAAGAAACTGACTGTGCTGACTCGCTCAGACCATGAGTGTCTGGAGAGTCCTTGGGGACCTCCGTTCCCAGAAGGGGTATGCATTGGTGGTCTTGGCCCGAAGATGCACAGGAATGAAATTGGGTCCCTCGAGTCCCGGGCCAATATCTGATCACAGAAGCTTTTTCCTTCCTTTCTGAAGAAAAAGATTGGAAGTATTTGGAGATACTGCTCATAACCTGTTGTCGCTTCCTTCTAATCAGGTATTTGCCACCAGAATGTTTTGTGGTTGGGAAAGAACCTCCAAAGATTTCAAATAAAGTTGATGTCTGGTCAGTGGGAGTCATCTTCTATCAGTGTCTCTATGGCAGAAAGGTAAGAAGGTATTTAACTCCTTTCCTAGTGGTCATTCCCAAACCTTTTGGGAGGCAGTCCTGGCTGCTTCTTCCTTCTCCTCCCCAGGCTTAAAAGGTGCTTCTGCCTTGTCTCGTGCCATCAGTTCCGAGGCAGAGTCCACGCTAATGAAGTGGGGAGAACTTACTGCGTTGTGTTTTGATCTGCATGGCACTTCCTTCAAAAGCAATGTTCTGCAGAACATCTCTTTCCACTGGGCATGTTCCCACTGAGGCTGTTATGGGCGGGACAAGTGTATCGTTCAGAGACAGACACCTGAGGTTCTTGGTCTGGCATTGTTTTGTGATGCTTTCAATGTGTTCAGTCTTTGTCAAGCCTGATACTGCCTGACAGCTGCAAGTGTTTTAGGAAAAAAAGTAGGTACAAAGACCCACTCTAGAAGTTTTTAGGAAGGCTTTGGAAGGGAGGAGTCCAGATCAGGAAGAGGTGATTTGTCCTGAGAAAAGGTAATTTGTTTTATGACAACATAAGACATAGGTTGGAGCAGGAAAAGGATTCCGTCAACTCTTGTTCTCACGAGTCCTTGGTAACCGAGTGTTGTGAAAGCCTGGGCTGACAAACACGCTGTGTTGCTTAGAGTTGTCAGTCAGACAAACAGTGGAACCGGCCCAGCAAAGATTGAAGTGGGTGAATCTCCTGTCAGCTTAGATAGATGAAGGCCCTCTTGCACGTGCTGGAGCTGACCTACGAGGTCTGGAAGCAGGTGGAGATCCCTCCTGTCTGAGCCGGAGACACCCCAGACACGTTTTGGCTTGGTCCCTTTAGTTGAGTTTCAGTGTGTCCTGCTCATCTGGCTGGAATCTGCAGCACCTCCACAGCATTTGTGGGCTTCTCGCCTGGAAAAATGCTGATGTCAAGTGATGATAAACAGTAGCGTTATGGGTTTTTTAAGGCCTGTCATCAACCTTTAACAACTGCCTTTGATTTTTTTGGTAGCCCTTCGGTCACAACCAGTCACAGCAAGATATTCTGCAGGAGAACACAATTCTGAAAGCTACCGAGGTGCAGTTCCCTCCAAAGCCAGTAGTCACACCAGAAGCAAAGGTAAGTCTTCTTGCAGCGAGTTTGATCACTGTGTGCGTGTGCGTGTGTCAGTCGGCAATCAGCGCTGGCAGTTCCTTCCTCTGAGTTTCCTTAAACCCGGCAAGAAGTTCTGCATTTAGTGCTTGCCTCCTGCAGAGCGGTCAGTGGCTTCGCCTTGTTGTAGCTGTCAGGCTGAGGACTGAACGGAGCGCAGCGTGTGCCTCTGCCTGTGCGCTCTGCTGATAAAAGATGAGCTTCTGGGGTAGGAGCTGGGCGCTCTCTGTGGTCACGGGGGAAGGAATTTCAGCGCTGGGGTTGTCAGATTGGCCTTGCTCCCAAAGAGTTGCCTGTCAAAGAAAGCTTCCCGTTTCTGTCCCTCTACTAATTCTTGTTTTGCCTTTGGGGTATGTGCAGGCATTTATCAGACGCTGTTTGGCCTACCGAAAGGAGGATCGGATAGATGTCCAGCAGCTGGCCTGTGACCCATACTTGCTGCCTCACATCCGCAAATCTGTATCCACAAGCAGCCCAGCTGGAGCTGCGATTGCATCAACCTCTGGAACATCCAATAACAGCTCTTCAAACTGAGACAGAGTTAATAGGCCAAAAACTGCTTGAGAAACCGGCAAAAAGACTTTCAGAAACAGCTTTGGAATAGAGGAATCTGCAAGGGTCTCGAGAAACCTGTACCAGGTGCTTTTTTTCTCTTGCTTTTTTCCATCCATAGAGCATGACAACATCAACTCTCATCAAGTAAACCTTCGGCATCTAGGCCAAGCCGTGCGGATAGGAGATGGCTTGAGGTTTATCCAGTAAATGACCACAAAGGGTGGCTGCTCTGAGCAAGGAGGGGAAACTCAAGAAAATACAAAAAGACATGGTTCCATGTACTGTGAACTTCTGAACATGCAGCCTTGGGGAATCCAGGACGCCGTGTGTGCTTCATATGAAGAATGTGGACTTTGGAAAAAGACTGGGCTAGTCCAGTGTTGATATTTAAACATTGTTCTTTTTCTTTTAATAAAGTTTAGGTAACATCTCCTGAAAAGCTCGAAGCACCAAGGTTCAGCTGGGGATGGTATATGACTCTTTGCCCTTTGGAGGGGAAAAAAGTTGATCCTGCCTGTTCATGGCACTAGAGTTAGTGTTTTACCCCTAATTAATTTCAGTTTTTTAAAAATAACAATTTTTTGGAAGAAAACAGTTTTCTGGTCTCAAAGTGAAACCCATACTAGCAGGTTCATGGCAGTGTTCATTCTGTGGATGGTGCAGCTTTCTGCTCCCTTGGGGTGGCCTCTTATGAATAATTCACCTTCTCGGGAGGGCGGCAAAGCCCACGGGAGAACAGGTCTGCATAGATCTCCTGTGATCAGAGTGGATCACAGCTCAGACTGCCACGAGGTTTTCAGCTGCCGCTTCATAGCGCTCTCAACGGTTGCACCTTCTTAATTTATTTGAAGTGCTGTTCTTTTTGAAAACGCACCCTGACATGTCCACGACGTGCTCTCTGCTCTCGTGAGCGTGATATCTGTTGACTGTTGAAAAGGCAGGCGGCGAACGGGAAAGAATCGGAGCACAGCTCAGTTGATCGCAGGTGTGATCTGTGCTCACGCAGTACTGTACGTACCTTGTTCGTGTTACAAAAATCTGAAGCTGAAGACTTGTCTGCTCTTCTCAGTTAGGTGACTTGGCTGCAAAACTTCCTCTTTCCCTTAACGCTTTCCTTTTAAAACTTGCTGACTTTCCTAACTTGCTGCCATCGCTGCATCCGATTTCAAATGAGAGGGAATGAGATAGTGTTCTTGAAGGGAGCAAACACTCTAATTATTATTTTTGTCTCCCTTCGGTAATCTGCCTGGAGGGGTCTTACACCTTCAGCTGGAGCCTGCCTGCTGTGAAACGCAAGCCTCTTGTCCCCACTCTGCCCCCCTTTCCCCCCACATTGAAGGAAAACAGAAAACACACACAAAAAGCACAGCACTTGAACATGTGGCAGCCAGGTTGGAGTGCTCCTAACATGTGGCAGGAGTTCATAGCCAGAAATATTTAAAGATGCAGTGTTCGAGAGCAAGGTTTGTCTCGGGAGGGAGCCGAGCGCTGCACTACCGCAGTTCAGGGTGGTGTTTAAAAAACAAAGTACCCTGTGCGCACTTCCTAACCCGATACCCAGACCACCGTGGTGGGGACTGTCCTCTGCGCAGCACCTCCAGGGCTGTTCCCGCAGCTCCGGCAGCGAGTGGGCTGTTCCGGGCGCTCTGCGCCCGAATGGCGTTCTCGTGGCAAGCGATGTTCTCCGTCACGCGCTTTCAGAGAGAACTACCGCTTGTCTGCCTTACTGTAAGGCATCGTTTGCAAAGATTATGCTTAAACCTGATCAGGAACTTTTGGCCAACTGAAAAATGGAGGAGTCTGAACTTTAGCAATGGGAAGTGGAGAACCCTGCCGCTTTTTTATTACTATTTTTGTAGTGACTCTTGGGCTTTTAATTGGATGTATTCACTTGCAGCTGCATTAAGGTGGTCTCTAAACTGTAGTGTTTTAAACAAAGAAAAGAAATACTGCATCTTTAAATCCTCAGCCATAATATCTTAGCCCTTTCCATCCCTGCTGCTCTATTCCAGAAGTTAACTGTTTAGCAAGCAGCGCTTCGACATGTCTATTCAGCCTCTGTCAGGCAAAATCAGGGTTGATGCTTCATCCCATTTGCTGAAACTGATGATTTGGTGTCTGTCCGCATCGGGGAGAATTCTAAAAGGGTTTCTTCTATCCCGGTCCCGTTGTTTCTTGGACATACAGTGTGTGCTATCTCTGTGGGTGTGATTAGTTTTGTGTCAGATGCATTTATTGCTGCTGTGCGACACCCATCCAGGGGCCTGGGGACAGCGTTGGCCTTTCCCCGGGGCTGATAGCAGTGAAGAACCCTGGTAGAATTCTGGCTGCGACACTTCCTTGTTAATATGGGTTTCACTTCCAATAACAGACCCTATTGCCACACTGTTCATTTACTTAAAGAAAAGTGTATGAAGAATTTGTAACTTAAACCAGGCCAGACTGTTTTGGCTCTACCCAACAGATGAGACATGGATATTAAAATAAGTTTTAAGAAACTGATTTGCCTGGCTCTTACTGTTTTGCTCTCTGTAGCGTTGGCACGAGCTCTCTTGCAGTGGCTGCACGGAGGTGACACGGGACAAGATGAGGAAGGATGGAGGAAGGTTGCATTCAACAGCTCACAGCAGTGAGATCTCTGCATCTGAGGGGGGAATGGCTGAAAATTACCATGTGTTATTTGATTCCTGGCATTGATCTTGTTCTGGAAGACTGAGACAGACATCCAAGGTGAGTTTGTCCCTCATTGTCAGTTGAGTAGCAGCTGCCTTAAGAAACTACGTGTGTTTGGGACACAAAAAACACCTTTTCTTGTCTGTTGATGAAAATTGGCGTTGACCTCCCGTGCCCTGGCTGGCTGTGCTGAGCTGGTGGCCGCAGGCTGTCAGCTGCTCCTCAGCCCCGGGTGCCTGAGGCTCCGGTCTCGGTCACATCCACGTTGAGCAGTGACGATGTACTCAGTTCCTTAATTTATGGCTGAGTCTTGTCAGCTTTAAAAACATACAATCGAAAATGAAAAAGGAGCTTGGCAGCTGAAGACGTCAAGTCTGCTTATATCTGGACTAATAACCGGAGAGCGCCCGTTCACATGCCCCGCTCCTCCGCGGGCATCTCCCGACCTCTGTGCGGGGCATCCCCACTGCGAAGCGGGGTGGTACCTGCCCAACGGAGCCTGGTTCCTCCGGAGGAAGAGTTTCTGGGGATCAGGGTTTCTCTGCAAACCTGACGTCACCCTTGCTGCACTTGAAGTTCAAGTCAGCTTTCGCCTGAGCGCGAGTGAAACCGAACACCGAGAGCAGCTCAGCTCCTTCCCCGCTGCTGCAATTGATTATTTTTTGGCCCCCTGTGCCAGTTTTGATGATGCGACACAGATTTGGGCAGGGGGAGGTGGTGGCAGCCTTTCAGCAGTGAATGCACAAGCATCCTGCGGCGGCCAGGCCTCCGGGCCAGGTAGCCAGCGCGCCTGCGCAGCATGCCCGGGAGCAGGGACGTACACGGGATTACGCGTTCAACTTGATGCCAGCGGGAATGAGACTTACTGAGGGGCTGCCTCGCTGGATGCTGCGCCTCCTACGCTAGCGGTTAGGAGTCACGCTATGAAATGAGCTTCCTTCTGCCAAATGGGCCAGTCCCAGTTTATTTTGTGACCTGGCAAACTCTCGAGACGGGGTTTGCTACCGCTGCCAGTGTCTCCCTGGGGTTTGCTGCCGGAGGATGTTATTTTCTGGGTGCTACGCGAGTCTGGCTCGAGCAGCCTTGACTTAAACCTTCTCGCTCCTGGCGTGGAGGGGGAGAGGCGATTTGAAGCGTGTGGAAGCAGGACCCGGCGCAGCCCTGACTCCCACCCAGCCCGGAGGTGCCTTTTCTACCAAATGCTGAGGAATCTTTGCACTGAGACCCTGAGTTTCCATCGCTGCACGTGGATGTGCCCACGGCTTCTGCTTCGCCCTGGCCCCGGCGCTGCTCTCGGGGGCAGCTGAGCGCCCCACGGCCATCGCCCTGGGTGGGGGCGAGAGGCCAAGCAAACGCGGAGCTGCTCGGCGTCCCCTCGCCACGTTCACACCCAGGAACAGGCGTCTTGGCCACAAGGACGCTATTGTCTGCGCCGGGTGGGGGAGTGGGAGCCGGGACCGGGGCTGAGACACACTCTCATTTCATGCTTTAACTGCGCGGGGGCGCAAAGGATGGGAAAAGCCGCTGGCGCGTGCTCTCTGGTGAGGAGCCGTGTGCTGCTGCCAGCGCCGCACGCTCCTCCGTGCTCCTCTCCGCTCCCAGCCCTGCATCTTGCCATGGGATGGGTTGCTGCAGCCTTTCTTCTCCCTCCATCCTTCGGCTGCAGCTTAGTGTTTTTATTGCTCCATTGCTCCTCATTTCCAAATGCCGACCGGCTGGTGCGTCAGCACAGGGGAGGCTCTGTGCTTCGAGCTGGTCCAGTAAAGCCTAAAAACAGAGGTTAGCCACCAGTGCCCCACCAGCGTGTGGGGGTGAGCCTCACCAGCCCACAGGCAGCCCTGGCCCAGAGCTGCTCTCCCATCTGCTCTTACTTGGGCTGCAGGGATGAGGCAGAGGAGTGCAGTGGTCAAGCTGGAGGTAAAAAGGTGATGGATGGATGGATGGAGCTAAAAATGCAGGGATGCTGTGGGGAGCAGCAGGGTGAAGACAGGGAGACTTGGTCTCTCATGCTGGCCAGATCTCCCATCCCCACTCGAGCAGCCACAGGGAACGGAGGCAGTGGGTTTATAAGGTGCTTGGCTCTGGTTTGTATTTGTGGGAAGAAAAAAAAACCGCCCTGTTCAGCTCTGTCCTCTCTTGCACAAAGCTGCTGGCTGCGCAGGAGCCCCGAGCATGTGCTGGCCAGTGTCCACGGGACATGGGCTGCCGTGTCGGCAACCTCCTCGCTCTTGGCCTGGCTCAGCTTTGCATCGAGATCAGGGCTCAAAAACCTGCTTTGTTCAGCATTGCCTCATCCCAGCTCCTGCTAATCTTGAAAATCCACCCGCTCGCACCCAAACGCAGGAGACCGGCTGGGAGCGAAGCCAAAACCCCTCCAGGCGAAAGGGACTGAAAGGAGATGGCGAGGGATGGAGGTGTCCGTGTCTCAAGGTAAGGCAGTGGTGGAGGTGGAAATGAAGCATCGAGGGCCCGACTACGTGGCCGCTGGACCGTGTTGCTCCTGCTGGAAGGGCCGCGGGTCAGGGTGGGAGCTCCGGTCCCGTCCCCTCTTCCGGCGGGAGGAAGATGCTGTTCGGGAT